CTGGTTTTCATCTTAATCTTTGCCAATGTGAGATCGGCAACCAATGATCGATTAAATGCTAATAACTAAAATGAGTCCGAATCTTGCATATATCAAACGTACACTGGCATTTCATGGCATTTCTAATAAATATATTTTTCGAATAAAACGGCAAAGAATCTAAGTAAGATTTTCGTCCAAAAATATTTCCCTAACCCTTATAAACCGTAATAAACGTAGCTATACTTTAGTAGACATTTAGTAAATCAGTTTTAGTTTATTCCGTACTCTTGATAACAATATTTCTATTTAAAAGAAAATTATCGCATTCTCCATCCCCATCATTCTAAGCCTAATAAAGCACGAGAAGATGAAGACACAGAGGTTGTTCTCTATTTGCATCAGAAAAGTTCAGTTCGCTTTTGTAAGTAGCAGCACCAGTTTTTTTTTTATTTCACTTCTTATATGACGACTTATTCAAAGGATGTCCCCTTTTCGCGTAACACGGCAACGGACGGCAAAAAGTCAAGGAAGAAAAAGACATAGGTAAGCCACCGCAGGCTAGTGGTTTTGTGCACAATCAGTAAGTGTTATACCCTCACTACGACTACGATCAAAGTACACTCTACCGCATTGAAATTTGAAAACGCGTGCGTCATCTAAGCATTCACTCTGTGTCGTATAGCTTAGCCGTAGTGATATTGAGAGATTGTTAATGGTTACGGAATTGGGATCTCGTCACTCCGCAGCACAGCTTGTGATCCAGAGTTGGAAAATACGAAATCCAGAGAATTATAATCTCACTGAGATTTCGGAATATTTCAGCCAACCATTCGTAGAGGCCTATGATGAGGTGAAGGGTGAGGTAACTACTAAATTCACACTCGTTATGGCTGCTGCGTTATGACGTGTCCGCTATCACTAGGTCCATAAAATAAGATGTAGGTATAAGCGTCAATCGCATACGCAATAGGTCAATGAAATAATTGATGCAATATTCCCGCTGCGTTTTAAGAATGAACTTAAATTCCAAAAAAAAATTTTTTTTTACAATAAAATCGTTAAACCATTTGCATAGAAAACATGCGGTTCTTTTTTTATTTTAATTTATATTAAATTTTGATATTAACACGTAATAACAACGTCACATTGTTAATTGACTTAAAAAGGGCCAAGTTAGTTGAGCATACATAGATCAAGTTAAGCTCGAGCAATTCGGCAAACGTGCAATGTTATGGAAACCCGAAAATTTCGTATCAAGCTGCAAAAACCGCAACTATGTGTGAAGTCAATAGACTATAAGCCATCAACAGACTGAGAAAAAAGCAAAAAAAACAACAAAAATTTAAAGCCTTCCTTAAGCAACTCTAACCACCAACTCATAAAATTTAGATAAATTCAAAAAGTTATTGTATTGCATACATTTAGTTTATGAGATTTTGAATTCATATTTTATCAACTTAATAAAATTGACAATAATGGCAGACGTGCGCTTTTTCAGACTGGAAAGCGTTCGGGACCGGTAAAAGTCGCATTTCAAGTATCTCTTTTTCAACACAAAAAAAAAAAGAAGTTCATTGGTTTTTGAATAAATTTGTAAAATTTTTCGAAAATCTTTGTTAGGCATAAGTTAATATAGAAATTGTTTCCACTAACTATTATTTATTATGAACATAAAAAGTATTTCTTTTCTTCTTGCATTTATCAATGCTAGATAGATAGATAGATAGATAGATTAATGAAATTTTTTGACTCTTTGCTGGAAAATTATGTGCGAGTGCAAGCGAATTGAAAGGATTATTATAACCCATCAGATTTGAGTAAGGAAATAATTTTTCGATAAGATGTGCTAAACTAGCTAATTTTATGTAGACACTTCACCTCTGCAAACGATACGGACAGATAGATAGACGTTTATGTAGGCAACGCCATGTAAATTAAGCTTAAATGATTAAAGCAAGAAAGGATGTTGGTAAGCAGACAAATAGGTGAACAGATAGGTAAGCAAGCAGGCAAGCAAACAGGCAAGCGAGCAAGCAAGCAAGCAAGCAAGCAGATAGACAAGTTCGTATTGTTCAAAGTATGTGTAACTAACAAATGCTTTATATGTTTAATATAATGCTCATAATGACGATAACGATAATGATGATGATCTTGCCCACATCATAATAAACGTAGTTATTGCGCACCCAGCCTTTTATCTGTCCCTCTTTCCTCTCTATCGGTTTTACTTTGTCATACTTTACTAAAAACTCTATCAAAAATAAACTATAAAATGTTATTATATTGCTTTAATGTGAAACGTTGTTAAGAACATAAGGACCGAAGAGTGCATATTGAAGATAAATAACTGCAGCAACAGAATGCTGAAAAAGAAATAAAGTAAAAATTAAAAAGACACAAAGAAAGAGAGAGAGAGAGAGGTAGAGAAAGAGAAAGAACTCTTAAATTATCTGAGCAAAAAAAAAAAAAAACAAAAAAAAAAAAATGTAAAAGGAAAAAGGAAAAAAACAATATACAACATTTTTATTAATAACAATTTATGATCGTGTTTAGAAAATTACGGAAACACAAACGGAGAGGGAAAAAAAAAAACAAACAAGTGTTAGAAAACTATAACTATTTGTACAACAACTACCATTAACACACAACAGAGTGTAATAAAGTCTTGAAACAACCGCTAAGGCACCACCGCTCACTTACCGTCTAACATAAATTGTCATATGTTGACTTTACACCTGGCTAAAGGATCTCCACGATTTACAATGAGTTCGCTGTGTGTTGCAACCATTTATGTATGCGTGCGTATGTTGGCAATGATATTCCAAAAAAAAAAGGCAGCTTTAAAGTGCACCTGTGTGTGTTTGCATTACATATGTGCATTTGAAATCTATAACATGTTACGTTCACGCTATAGATCGCCGCTACTTTAAGCAGCCAACAATACACGGGTCAACAACAACAACAATAATAACAATAACAACAATTATTCCACTGATATTACAGATAGATGGTGACGGCCGGTTTCGTTTCGTTTATTATTTTCTTTTTTTCTCTTCTTTTTTGTTAGTAAAGTAATAAATTTGATAACAAATGCATTTTGACGCCATTTTCGTGCATCATACATATGTAGGTAGCCTTGCATGCGCTTATATCTTTCTTTCTTCTTCTTGGGTGTTATTATTATTATTATTATTATTATTATTATTATTATATGGAGAAGCGAGAATGTTTTTTTCTTTCAACTTTCGGCGACTCTGAGTGTTTCATCTTCTTATGGAAGGGTTTTTTTTTTTATTTTTTTTTTTATCTTTCTTGCTTGTCGGTTTGCGCAGAGCTGTCTACATAGGTTCGATATGTTTTCTCGGTGTCTCTGTGACATAACGACAAGCAATAGGCATTGGCTGGCACATCGCGCATTTATAAGGAAAAATGAATTTCCCCACAGTAATGTTAGTAAATTAAACGGTCATTAGTTTAGCCTTTTGTATGATTATTTGCCTCTTCTGGTACTTCGTTAATATTTATTGTAATTTTACGGACAAGTCTTTATGAGGCCATTATGATAATGAACGCTATTAAATAAAAAAAAGTTACAATTTTCGTATGACCTTTCAGTGACTTTGCTCTCAGGCGCTTGGCTTACGTAACATATCGTATATATGATCTTATGCTTTACGTTAGCTTGGGGAATAAACTTATTTTTCAACAATTTCCGAACATGTTTCGCGGATATCCGGTTAGCATCTGTGGACATGCGTCTAATGCACAATTTCAAGCTTGATCTATAGACATAAATAACGACTTGTACGGAAAGTGCCATAATTATGTTCCATATTTAAATCGGTGCACAATTTCAATCTAATCAACCACGCTGCTCATTCGAATGATGTTAGGAAAGTGCAAATGAAATGAACACGAATGGAGCTGAAACTGTTTGAAAGCATAATCAAGCTCGTCTTGAATAATTTTTAAACGGAATTGATTCTTTAAAGCGGTCAAGCGGTAAGCCATTCTACCTAATAGCGTCGTTAAATTGAATTCTTTCACGAAACAATTACATCACAAGGGCTTAAATCTCTTACAATTTTTCCAATCCTATCTATTAAGAGAGTAACATATGCAAGCAGCAATATATAAACTAAGAGACAGCCCTGTTGTGGGCGAAACATTAGAAATGACGCCAGAGCAATAGAATAAGACGAACAATAAGTCATCTTCAAGCGTTTCGTCATACTTTCAAGACTATGTCGGCTACTTTAATGCCAACAAGGCATGAAGACATCAATGTTTAGCCTCGCATAATCAATCACACTGCGTTAGTATTGATCTCCAGGTGAAAAATGAAAAGCCGGCAATATTCGTGTATCCCTTAAAATTATTTTCAATTATTTTCACTTTACGTTTTCACAAAGTAAATCATTGTTATGGTTATTTAAATGAGAGAGAAAGGGTTAGAGAGACCGTGAATTGTAATAGAGGTGAACGACCTGAATTTATGATAGACTTTAAAGTCTAAGGGAACATAAGCTGTGCGTTTGAAATTTAATTTTATTGTATTTTCAAAATACTTTTATATATCAATATATATATATATATATATATATATATATATATATATATATATATACAAAAATAAATATATGTATATATTCTATATAAAGTAACAGCGTCAAGCTGCACTAATGTCCTAATTGCGAATGCTTCTATTAATTTAATGTTTTTTCGCTTGTAAATATCAATAAATTTTGTTGATATATAAAAATTCACTTAAAATTAAATGGTTCATAAAATTCAATTTTCGATAACGAGTCGGTTAACAAAAGTCACATGATTGCGATTTTTTATTTTTAATGGTTTATTGAAATAAAAGCTGGCGCTAAGAGACAAACCGGTTAATTTTGTAAATAAAATCAAATATTTTATGAACTTTTTAAATATATATACACACATACACACACATATATATATATATTTATTTCAATACAAATTGTTAATGTTTTAAGTGAATGTCTGCTTACCTTTTTCTAAATAAAGCGCAAATTTCAATACATCTGCAAGAAGAGAAGGAAAGAGTGATAAATCAATAAAGCGTATGTGAAACGTACAAAAGATATAAATGCTTAAATTTACTTAATATATATAATTAATCAAACGATATCTGTCCATCCGTCCGTTTTTGCTTTTGCAGCTCTTTTAGCAGCAAAAGTGAAATAAATTCAAAAATGGGCATGGTTGACTCATTAAGCATATCCACAATAGCTTCGGATCTGATAATTGCTTAAAAAATATTAAATGACTGAAAAAAATTCTTATTAACAATTTTGCAAACTGTAGCGGGAAAGGTTTCCTGTCAAAACGGTAAACACAATTGCAAATCAAGTACGAATTTACTTTAGACTTGGTTCTATCCCCTACGTTTTAAGTAAAATTTGTTTAAAAAAGAAAAATAATAATAATAATAAAATAAAATAAATAATAATAATAAAAAATAAAAAAAAAAAAAAAAAGATGCATAAAATTTTTATTATTCCGAAATTTTAATAAATTAATTCAAGCAAGCATGAAAGAAGCGTAGCAAGAGCAACAAGGTTTGCAGCAGCAGCAGCAGCAGCAGCATAAAACATACTAATCATAAAAAACATATTAAGAAAAGTGCTATTTGTTAATAATTTATAATTTTATGATTATTTTATGATCTGTAATTTCATCATTTTTCTTTCTTGTTCTGTCTTTTATGTTTAGAAAAAATTGAAATTTTTGCTTCCTATGTTTTCTTTCGTAAATACACTTTTAAGTAAGATTTTTTAATGTTCACAATTTTTATATTTTATGATCGATCGTAAAATCAAAAATGTAGAAAGAAAAGGAAAAACGATCAAAAAGATGTTTTTATAGGATCATCAATCGAATTTTTTTTTTTTTTTTTTCTGTTTTTACTGCGCGTTAATAACGCTAACTGAAAATGGTATGTTAATTTCTTCATATCATTTCCCATCCATCGCCCAAGTCCTTAAGACGAGAGATCCGATTGCTTACATTGGATGCATCTCTTTCTTACCATACAATAGTTACAAAAGATATACATACGACTTGGATGATGATTAGCTGACGTGAAAAGCTCAAGGTAAAGTAATATCTTTTTCTTCTTCTTGCTTACCAAGACTAAGCTAAGCTTAGAATTATATGTACATTATTTCCTCTCTATTGCTGCAACGATCGAAATCATTTAAATAGAATGCGAATTTAACGTACGCACAACAACATATACAACAACAAATGAATTGAATGAATGAGAAATGCCTTTCGGTTTATCGTTTTGGCAATCGCGTGTATTGCCACGAAAAACTGGAACGATATTATATACGCTACTCTGAACGTCATCAGACGTCATCATTGACAACAACTCTTAAAATGTAGCAGTAGTGTGTATGTTATTGGTGGTCCTTTGACTGCACAAAATAAAATCGATATCGATATTGATTACCCTTAGAATGTGGTTAACGTTATCCGTGTCATTAGATTTACTATGATGGGGTATTTGAGATGCATCATAGACCGAATATAATAGTTTTCTCCTTTATTTATTTATTTTTTTTTTATTTATTTATTTTTTATTTTTATATTTTTTTTTTTTTTTTTTTTTTTTTTTTTTTTGATTGCCTTTATGTATGACACACGTGCGGTTGGAATTTTTTTATATGGTTTTTATTTTATTTTAGTTTTTAATCTATGAAAAGCTTAACCCAACTTAATCTGCTGACATAATTTTAATTAGTTTGAAATCTTTGAAACATATTTAAATATTTTAATGATTAGTCCTATAGAACTTTAGCGATTAAAATAATTTCGTTAAGTTAAAGGTTAGAAAAAACGCGAGGCATTCAAACTGTTTTGTTTTTTTTTGTTTTTTTTTTGTTTTTTGTCTTTTTTTGTTCCTCGCTTATGACTAAAACATTTAAAGCAAGTTATTGGCAACAAAGCTCGGCGATTACTTTTTTTATATTTGTGTCTTAGGGAGATATTAAACATACAAATGTTTTCGTTGATCTCCTTTTAACAAACCGCAAAATAATTTATTCGCTCGCGATTGAATTATGTATTCAAGTTTCTTTTATTTATTAATTAGGAAAACTGGGTATATGAACTTAAGAGTAGACTAATTTTTTCAGAATTGTCTCTGCCGTACTTACTTACTGTTGTATTTAACTAAATGCTGAAGACAAAGATTTCCGGCATCATTTTCAAGGAATTATGTTGCAATGCTTTCTTATAAGCTGTCGGGGCCATTGGTTGCCTCATTAATATGCAGAAATGATTAGTGTAACAGCTTTAATTATGTGTTAATTGATTACATAAAAAATTGTGTAAATAAATTTCGTTTAGAAGAAATGCCTTTGCTTAGCTTGTATAGCTAAGTGATGGTTCACTTTCCTGGTAACTAGTTTTTAGTTTATTCCTTTGACGTGCGATAGGTAAAGGATCGGATAATAAATTCTGGATATCGTTCCTAAATAAAATTTTCTTCGAATTAACTCGGATTTTATTTCCAAATCTTAACACGTCCAACCAGGATTATTCATTTAATTAAAATTCTACAAATCACCTTTGGATTACTACCACCGGGCCTACATTATCCAAGCAAACTACATTCATTGCTACATAAAACGTGTGGTTGTTTAATCGCATCTGTAATCATGTACTCTATGAATAATAATCAGCTTCGATTGCTAAGAGCCCGATGCAGATTACTCTAATGCGTAAATAACACTTTGTCGAAAAAAGCTATGAGAGATTTCTTGTCATTATATCCTACGCTGCTTGTGGTATAAGGACATATTAAGTTTGTGCGGAGGAAAGGAATTGAGCTAGAACCGCCTTTTATTGCACCGATTGATCTAAGGTTGTCTATCCATCTACATTCACACCGATATAAAGTTTGATACGCATTTTAGCGGAATACAAAGCGGTCCGCTCCAAAATTACAAGCTGAAATGTCCTCCTGTTTGTGACACCAACTGTAGCTTAATAATCATCTCACTGAATCGTTTTGTTAGGTTGGGCATTGATAATATGAAAATTTAACAACTGAAGCATACTCGAGAGTAAGTTTGATCAGGCTCTTGAATAATCTTGCCGTTATATAATGTTCGTCGAATTCGATCGTCCTTTAGTTAATGCTAAGAGATTTTACCCTTTACTGGTCTCTTGAAGGCAAGATCAATTGTTTGCACTCATTCAAGTGAGGATTTAGAGAATTTGATTGGAAATCTATTCAGCAGCTCGACAGCAAGTGTACACGTTACAACGGTTGCTTCCGTGTAGTTTTCAAATTATCGAAAGTGTTCTCTTATTTTTTTATACCCACCACTGTAAGCTGAAGTTACACTCATTTTGTTTTTTTTTTTTTTATCATGTAAAACCCAAAAGGAAGCTTCAGAGACCCTATAAAGTAGTTCTTGATCAGTGTGAAATTCTGAATTAATTTATTATAATTAGTTATGCCTGTGCGTCTGTGTGTTTATTGTTAGCATACTCTTGACCGCAAAAATGAAAATATCAATGACATTAGAAGTCTTTGCTTGCAGATTGCAATTAGTCGGAGCACAAGTCCACAGTGGAGCATAAACTGAACGCAACTCGGATTTTTTTTGGCAAAAATTTTCGGATTCTTGCTCGTTAGTCGGAAATTCTTAAAGTTATAAGGCTGAAATTTTCCTCATCTGCATTGCGAAACTCTCTACTCTTTAGGTTCAAAAATGGGGAAAATAGTTCTTGGCCATGAAAAGTTACAAGCGATTAAGTTTTTAGTTTTTTCACTTTTTTGAGGTTTTATGCTTAGTAATCATCACGCAAATAAGGCAGAATGCTTTTGTACATTCCTGAACTGAAGATGTATTATTTGCCTAAAGATGGGTTAATTCGGCTCCCGTCGAATATAACTTTTTTAGTTGTTTTTTTTTTTTTTTTTTTTTCAGACGAAAACTTAATTACATCACATTAATCAAAAATTATCGATTCACTTAACTTTTCTCGAATTCTCGACGTGATTTCAAGTTCACATTGAAATTTCATTAAGGGCAGTGTTAAGATGTGAATTAAAATTTGAAAGTTGAAATCTTAAAAGCGTAATGTGTAAGATAGAGAATAGTTTATGCCCGCCTATGTGTCTGCCCCTTACTCGCCGGCATTGATGGGCACCAGGGTGATGAGTCTGCTCTTTGCTATTCGGTGCGTCATTGAACCGAGTGGGGTTAAGCTTTCATGGCGAAAATTCACAAGAAATTTCTAGAGATATCCCCTGTGATGCATATCGACGATAACAAAGCTTCGAAATAATTTCGATTTTTAGATTAGTCCAATGTCTAGTGACTGGCAAATAATGACTTCACTTAACCTCAATCATTTTAACTATTAAAAAAAGTAAAGAAAAACTGTAATTAATTTTTTTAAACGGTATTAATAGGTTTCCTCTGTAAATTCATAACAAGAGAAAAAAAAGAAAAATCAATAACAACATATTTAATATTTAATTTACAAAATATCACTACAAAACTGTCAAAATTTTTTGACATTTACAAATTATTTTTGCTCATGAACATAAACATGATAAACAAACACAGATGGCGGAGATACACCGAAAAATAAAAAAAATTACGGCCCCCTTCTCCTCGCTCTCTCTCTTTCACCCTTTCGTTCTCTATATTCTTGTGTACAAGCAACAAATCACTTCTGTAAACAATTTCCACTAAAATTTAAAATAAAATAAAAAAAATATATCAAAAAAAAAAAATTGAAAAACATGTTCACTCTCCCGTTAAAGTGAAGGCAACATTCGTACCAGATTAACGTAGCGTTAATGTGTTGTGTGCGCGCGCCCGCAAAAGCCATGCAAAATTTTTAGTCACTTTGATATCGCTTGAAATAGAGTCTGCGTTAATTTGCGTCAACGGGCTAATAACGGCTCATATACGTTTTGATTTCAATTTTCTGGTGAAGAAATAAATAAATATTTTATGCGTACGTTTAATTTATTTGTTTGCATGTAAGTGCT